GTAATGAGGTGTAAATAATTTTTACATGCTATAATTAATAATGTGTATATTGCTTCTCAGTGGTTTGCACATATTACTAGAGAGTGAGTGCTCTAGTGGTTAGGGTGCTACATTAGAGCAGATAAGATCCTAGTTCAAAATTCCACTCAACATCAGTTCTCAATTCTGAATGTTTTTTTTTTCAATTTTCTTTTATTTTTACTATATAAAGAAAGAGCAACAATTTCAATGTCTATAGAATGTCAGTGTGTCATTTCAATGTCTATAGAAAAAGTGTGTTGTCTGGTTAGTTAGTTTGAGCAATAGTCATCATCATCATCATCATAATGTTCATTAGTAGTGGTCATATAATAACAGTATTTTCTCCACATATTAATACTTGTTAATACTAAATCATATTGACAATAAACATATAACAAACCCTCATGGTAAAATTAATCCTTCACTTATAATTTTAAATATTCTAACTTCTGTTTCTGTTATTTAACCATAGATAAAACGAATTCCATGTTTCAAAATATTCCGTATCTTCCTTCTCTTTAATTTCAAGTGTTAATCTATCCATTTCTGCCCATTCTAGTATTTGTTTTACTATCTTATCATCTGTGGGAATCTCCACACCTTTCCAATGTTGTGCAAATACAATTCTGGCTGCTGTACACATGTAATATTAAATACATAGTCCCTTTATTATATCTTTTTGGTATGATACCCAACAGAAATATTTCTGGCTTTAAATCTACATGTTCATCATTTTTTCTTTCCAAGTATGTATTTTTGTCTAATATGTTTTTGCTTTTGGGCACACCCACCATATGTGGTAGTACGAGCCCAGAGTCTGATTACACTTCCAATATTTAGCTGACATATCTTTATACATTTTGGCTAATCTCGCTGATGGAAAGTGCCATCTGTAGAACATTTTATATAAATTTTCTTTGTATGCAGTAGACATTGTTAATTTATAATTTTGATCCCACAACTTTTGCCATTTATCCAGTTCTATAGAATAACCAAAGTTTTAGCCCACACTATCATTGTTTCTTTTACTTGCTCTTCTTCCATTCTAATAATCAATAGGTAAGTGTAAAAAAATAATAATTAATTTCTCATAGTTCCTGTTAGGAACTATTCCTGTTCCATATAATTTAACATCTTTTTCATATCTTGATTCTGAATGTTAATGAGTTTTCAGCTGAATGGGAAAAAATGGGATATAAATTGAATAAAATATGAATAAATCTTACTTTGATACGTTTGGGCAAATCACTGTCCCTGTACCTCATATAAACAGTGATGCTAAAAGAGGACACAGAACTTAAAACCATGTCAGAGATGGCAGGGAACAAAATTTAGTTTACCTGAGAAGAAGCAAGTGAGAAAAAAATCCACTTTAATTAATTCTCTCCACTGTAACTGATACTGGGAATTTATTTAAGATTTTGAAGATTCTCAACTTATCCGGACTAGCATTAGATACTTTCTTGAAATCCATGTCTTGCTTCCTTAGTTTTGCCAGCTACATGGGGCTAGACAATACCGTGTTTCCCTGAAAATAAGACCCTGTCTTATATTTTTTTGAACCCTGAAATAAATGCTTGGCCTTATTTCCAGGGAGGTCTTATTAATTTGGAGCGCATGGAGCAAGACGGGGCCGTTTTACCTGATTTCCAGTTCTGTCTCCAGGAAATGGCGGGGACCAGCTGCACATACGTTTAAATATTTTTGGGGAGGGCTTATTTTCAGAGGAGGGCTTATTTTCGGGGAGGGCTTATTTTCGAGGAAACACAGTAGCTTTATGCAAGTCAGAAAATGTGCCAACTGTATCCTTGCTTTTCACCGGATACTGAGAAATGTGAGACTGAGAAAGAAAATTTCATATGAATTTCTAGATTTATAAGAAAAGAATAGTCGTGAATTATGAAATGTGTTGCACGAATATGGAATTGATGGTTGGTTGTTGGATGGGATAAGGTAATATATAATGGAAACAAAGCCTCTGTGACAATTGAAGGAATACTTGGTGGATAGTTCAACATTTCAGCAGGATGAAAAGGATGTGTAATGATCTCTTTGCTGTACAATGTATTAATGAAATGTACAGGTAATTTTGTGGTGATGTTACAGGTGTGATGGCTGGGGATGTACTGTATACACAAGTACTTTTCTACACAGACATTGTGTTATTGGCTGGGAATCTGGATTGTTTGCTGAATTAGGTATGTAATTTTTTAAGTTATATGTTTTGGGACATAGGTACTTAAGAAATATCATCAGACTCACAGCTGACCCATCACAAGACCCTCACTTGACACACCCACTCCTGAAGCCCTAAACAGAAGAACACTGACACTGACACTCTATTGAAGATGTTACCTAGCCTGGTAACAAAACGTTCGGAAACTAACCCAAAAGATAGTAGAACAAACCTTCACCCTCATTCTACACCCGAGCTACAGATATTCACCACTGAACAATGCAAACCATTGTTTCTTTACATATTTGGATTCCATATTTTAATACATATGAAGTCTATGAATCAATTTACTTTACAATTAAAAATAAGTAAATTAGCAATGTAGAAATCACAGTATTAAAAAGTCATAAATTAAAATTGAATCCAGATCAACCAATGCAACAAGAACAGGCACAGCATTTGAAACAAAGGTTTAATCAAGCCAATTAACCACACTGACAAATAAAAATGAAAAACCTGATCATTAATTATCAAAAGTGTCATTTAACCTCCATAACACAAATGAATCCATGAAAAAGATCATTTTTCCCAGTCCAACCTTCTGAGGAAGGGTAACATATGCAATAGCCTAAATCTACTGTTAATATGTAGAGAGACTCTCTAACCAGCATAATGTTCTTAACAATTGAAAATATTTTCCTGAGAATATACCACAATATAATTAAAATTACACTGGGAATTTCTGAAATCACTAAAAATAAGAACTGTGATCTCATCCTCCCAGTTTTGGTTCCTGAGTGTGATTCATTTCCTCAGCTTGGGAGTTACATAAATCCTGAATAGCAAGGCTTGGAGAAGGGCATGGCTGCATTTTTCCTTTAGGGGAACTGAACTATTGCTCAAGAAATGAATCATGTGGAGACAAAGAAGTCTCTAACAAATCTGTTTAATAGTGCAATTCAATTCTACAATGAAGATTCTCTATGGGATTTGTGACCTAAGAAGTCCTTGTGTTCCTTGGGCTGCACTATAAATTAAAATATCATTCAAGAAAACCAGCATTTGCTTAAATCGATGGTTCAGACTGTCACTGCCTGAAAATGGTGGGCATGCCTAAGAACCCCCTTCAGAGTAAATAGGATATTTTTAATATCAAAAGAGAAGATTAATACATTGAGATTATTATAATGTAGTATTATTCTACCATATCTTATTTAAAATTAAATTTAGGTTCTTTGGCCATGGGCCCACCTCAGTTTTTCAGCTGTGGTCCCAGTATACCCTTTAGTTGCCATGTGAGACAAAAACTCACAGCCCTTTTTAACAGAAGTCACCTATCATTCAGATGGTTCAACTGGATGCTATCTGCTTAGACCAGGGGTGCCAAACCCGATTGCATCTCAGGCCGAATCATAACATATCGGGCTTGGTTTTGCCTTTGTGGAGCCAGGGTGGGTGTGGCCTGCGCGGGCCGTATCTGGCCCACAGGCCACATGTTTGACACCCCTGGTGTAGGCAATATAAACATTAGGATAAGTATTTTCTTGTGATTAAATACATTTAGGTTAGAAGATTAACCAAATAATAATTCTGATCACATAGAGCAGTATCCAAAAAATAAAATGTAAAAGCAGATTAATTGAGCAATTCAAGCAACCAGTGTTCAAATTTGAGTGAAGCTACAGTTTAAATCCAAAATATTATAGCTTGTCTTCATGTCTTAAGCTAAGGATTCACCTTTCAATGTATTAAATCTATCTGCATTGGACTGCATTTAACAATTATCTGGCATTGTCCACTATTAGAGTTGGGACCAGTATTTAGTTTTAATTCTATTTAAGAGTTCTAGAAGATCCCAATTGCAACAGACTCTTTTAGTCCAGCATTGTGACTTAAGTGCAAATAGCTATTGTTATAATACCTTAAGCGACTGATATTCAGAGATGTAATAACTCAAATCCAGGATATAGTTATATAGCCATATGATTTGTACCATTGGTAAACACCTACACCATGATTAAACTAATCCCCTTTTAAAGACATTAAAATTGGTGTTGCCATTTTTGTATCAGCAAATTCTGTATATAGCAGTATATCAATCAAGTAGTACGTGAAGCAGCACTTTAGCAGGGACTTTTCACCAATCAGGTTCATTAGAATGCTCTAATTCTAAAATTCATTTAGTTATTTATGAGATTTATCTACTATTCTAACTCAGATTGATTTTAGGCAATGCAAGTCAAAATGATCTCCTCTTCCCCAGAGATTAGTAACTCCATTTAAACCCCTTGTCGTTTTCATCTACATAAAAATGGCCTGATGGAAAAGTCGTCCAGAAGTCAATCATAACATACCTAACCTTTCCCTGGAATGGTTTGCCCTCCACCTCCTGCTTTTTCCCCCCCTGCCAATAGTCTCATCTCCATTTTGTATTCCCTCAGGAAAGTAATGTTTATGTAATTCAATAATTAATTGGCTTAATAAATCTTTGCCCCATCCTAAACACAAAATGTACAATAACAGAGGAAGTGTAATATGACCACTCCCATCTGTCCTATTCGTTTAAACAACCCAACCAAATGAACCAAACACTGGTTCTCACCCAGCATTAGCAACATCCAGCTCTTTGAACTCTCATTCCAGGAAGGCGGATTTTCCATAGTTCTCCACTTGGCGGCAGTTCAATCTCTTCCTCTTTCAACCACTTTCCCCTTTCCCCTGGAACAGATCTTCCAGCAGTTCAGGAAGGGGACTGGGTTTACAAGTTAAACTCTAAACTATGGTACAAACCACAATCACTAGATTAATTGGAAAAGTCATATTTTATTCTGAAATTAATTGTAGTTTAAAAAAACAGAGTTACCAATTACATTCCATTCAAAAAGTAATGCATTAGTAACATTAATAACATTAGTAACTTAGAAAAGAGCGTCCTTCCAAAACATCACACCCCATTTTTCAGTGTGTTTCCTGATTAGTAAGGAAGAAAAAAACCTTAATCCAACTTTACTCAATGTGTCCCTCCCAATATATTTGTTTATATATGCATGAAGTTGCTTGTCAGGCATGACGTTTGTTTTGTTGTATGAGGTGTTTTTATAGCTGGGTATTTTTTTATAAAATAGTCATCCCCAACTGCTGGCCTCCTAACATGTCAGGACTACATCCTTTAAATGCCAAAGGGTTGGAGATTCTGGGATTTGTAATCCCAGAAAGGATTGGAGATTCTGGGATTTCGAATTTATCTTGAGACCCCCAGATTTTAAAAATAAAAAAGGTACAAAGAAATCCACTGTTTCTTTCTACAGTAGTGGCATGATTATGATTATGATTATTTTAAAAAACAAGTTGGACATATTAGTAAGATGCTGCAGGACTTCAGGTCTCATTCCAAGCGCTCTTCTCAACACTGCGAATAGGAAATCGAAAGCTTTCGTCAGCTGGTTCCAGCAAGACCGGCTTCCTCCACAAAATGAGAATAGAGAAATGAATGGGATGAAAGGGCAAAGCCAAACGCCGCGTGACCTCCGATCAGCCGGGAGACAACGCCCCTTTCCCTTCCCACGAGGCGCGAAAATAGGGGGAGGTTCCGGCCAACACCCCCGCTCCCACCCCCACCCGACGAGTCAACGTTCCGTGTGACGTCACCAACAGTCTCCTTTCGGGGACTTCGGTGCCAAGATTAGAACGTACCATTTTTCGACCGAGGGGAGGAAGAAACGCGCAGGACGGCCATTTCATCCAAGGTTTCCTTCTCTGTTTGTCCCCTCGCGTGGAAGTTGCCCTTTGTAGCCTCGCGCTGCATGTTCCGTTCCCAGGAGCGTCGAGATGAGGGAGACGGGGGGGGAGAAACGCTTCGGTTCCTTCTTTTCCCCCTCCCCCCGCCCTCATCTTATGGTCTTGGAAGCTGTGCTTGCGTCAATGCCGGCAAGTGGGTGGGAGGGGGGAGTTTGACTGTACTTCTGGTGCTCGTGTTCCCGTGCTCAGCTCTCCGCGGCGTTTTCCGTGGGCTTCTCCATAGGCTGGCACCTCTCTGCCCCCGCAGCAGGCAGCCGAAGCTCCTTTTTCCAATCCGCGCCCCTTCTGCGGGCTCTGAAAGGCAGGAAGGACTCCAGATTTGGCCTATTATAGAGCAGGTTAGCTTGAGATAGAGCGCTCCCGGTGCGGAGCTTTTTCATTGAATTTTTGTTTTCCCCTCCCAGAGCTCAGTCTCGCGTGCCGTAGCGTTATTATGTATCAAAGCTCTCTGAGGTCCTTGTGCTCAGCCCTGTCTAACCTCTGCTGCACTCCTCCTTCTGCCTCTTCCTCCACGATGCTGCTCCGCTCGCCGGCTCCAGTGAGGAGAGCCCTCTCGCCGTCTGCCCTCCTCGCCTCTTCCTCGGCTACCGCCGGGATTCCGCGCTGCAGTTGCCCTGCCCCAGGCAGTTCGGGAGCTGGCAATTCCCAGGCTGGTGAGTGGTTTTTAGAACCTTCGGGGCTGAAGGTTCCATGGATGGAACGTTGGGGTTCGAGGCTGGTGAGTGGTTTTTTAGAACCTTCGGGGCTGAAGGTTCCATGGATGGAACGTTGGGGTTCGAGTGTCTTAATTCTACGCGCCCTCCCCTCTGCCTCCCCGCCCCCGCCCCCACCCTCACCCCGAGAAAGCAAGGAGGAAGTCGCAAGGGTTGGACGAAGAGGCTTCCCTGCTTTCCGCCTAATCCCCACAGCAGCAGCCTTAAAAGGTGATGGTGTCCCGTTTTATGGGTAACCATAGAAAAGGTTGCAAACAGTCCTCGATTTACGACAGCTCGTTTAGTGGCCGTTCAAAGTTAGAAGGGCCCTGGAGGAAAAAAAAAACGACGCATGACCACTTTTTCCACAATTGCTACCATTGCAGCATCCTAACGGTCATGTGATCAAAATTCAGACGCTAGGCAACTGACTCATATTTAGGATGGTTCGAAGCGTCGCGGGGTCATGCTTTTGCAAGCAAAGTCAATGGGGAAACCAGATTCACTTAACAACTGAGTTACTAACTTAACAACTGCCAGGGATTCACTTAACAGCTGTGGCAAGAAAGGTTGTAAAATGGAGCAAAACTCACTTAACAAATGTCTCACTTAGCAACATAGATTTTGGGCGCGGTTGTGGTTGTAAAGCGAGGATTACCTGTAATCCTAAATTGTGATGGGAAGCCGGGTTTCCGAGATCTTGCCATTACATCGACATTTGGGATGATTGCTTTTGGCTGATCTGGGAAATGCCTTCTTTGCTTCTGGCTTCCAGATGACCCTGTGCTGGATCCAAAGTGGCTGGTTGAAAATGGATGTACAGGTAGTCCTTGACATATAACAGTTCATTTAGTGACCGTTTGTAGTTATGTCATTGAAAAAAAGTGACTTCTGACCATTTTTTACACTTACAACCATTGTAGCATCCCCTTGGTCATGTAATCAAAATTCAGGTGCTTGGCAACTGACTCATATTTATGACAGTTGCAGTGTCCCGGGGCCATGTGATTGCATTTTATAACCTAACAAGCAATGTCAGAGGAGAAATCAGATTCACTTAACAACCATGTTAGTAACTTAACAATTGCAGTGATTCACTTAAAAACTGGGCAAGAAAGGTCATAAAATGGAACAAAATTAACTTAACAAATGTTTCACTTAGCAACAGAAATTTTGAGCTCAATAGTGGTCATAAGTCGAGGACTACCTGTAGAAATGAGCCATCTGGACCCAATAAAAATTGAGAGCCATGAAATATCTAGATTGGTTGCTAGTGTAATTAAAAGCTTTGCCTAGCTAGGAAAGACAAATAAAAAAAAAGGTCAATGAATGACGTGCATTAGGTATCCAGTATCATTTGTTCTTTCAAGCATTACTGTTTTTCTTCAAAGAAAAGATTTGACTTTCTAAATTATTTCTATTAACTGTTCCTGGGATTTAAAATTATATACCTAATAGCCTTGTCCTCTAATTATGCTAAAATTTCTTTTAACTGCCTAATAGATATTATATGAGGGATAAATGGGCACGGTCTTATCATAGCATGTATTACTGTTCTGTGTGTTTTTTGGTATGAAATGCTTATTGGTGAAGTGATTCGTTATATTTCATTTTCATATTATGCAGATATGTGATGCATGTCTGACCCAAGGGAGGTAAATATGTAAAGTACAGGCTACCTTGTGTACCCCAACTAATCAAGATATAGATAAAACTATGTTTTATAATATAATATACTGATAAATTATGTTGCCCTGTTTGTTGTAGTTTGTCAGCTGACAAATTGCAGTCTTATAAAAATAATGACTCCCGTTTTTGAGCATAGCAATTTGACTTATCTTGAAAGTCACCAAATCACAAAAGATGGGTTCACAGATTGTGCACAGTCATAATGTGGTTTATTTAGCTTTTATGTAAGATACCATATTAATCCAACTATTATAAACCATGGTTTATGGCTCAGTGTAATATATTTATCAAACCAATTATAATATGCTTAGCAAACAATGATTAGGGCTTGCATATGCTTTAGTACAATACATAAAATAGCAATTATATGACCTTTTCTTTAAAAATGGTATGACTATGTTCTGTGGTTACTCTATTAAGTCCAGTGAAAATCCTTTTAAACCTTATTTGCATTTTTTGCTATTTCCTGTAGTTCAATTGCGATCTGTATAAAAGATTAGGCAGCATTAGTTTATCTAGCTCACTAGTTTTTTCTGCTTCAGGAACTGAATGTAAACCTGATAACAGAGTTGAAATGGCACATACAGAATTCACTGCCAGCTGTTATCAGCTTCTGGCTTGTTTGTCCAGCTCAATCTTGCCCAGCCTAGCATCTTCTAGATTTATTGGACTATTTTCTGCGCAAGAATTGCTTCATTCTAGGATAATTCAAGGGTATAGGTTATGAGAAGCAAGACTATTTACTAATTTCTATACTTCTATACTAATTTCTATACATATAAAAACTAATTTTGCTTTCATGTTACAATTATAATTAATATAATAATTCTCCAATCACTTACTTAATATTTAGCTATCCACCTAGACATTAAAGTAGTTGTTTCAGGTTTGGAACAATTGTTTCACATTCAAAAGGGACTGTTTTGATACTTTAAAAGTATTGGATGTTCAAATCACAGTCTCTATTTTGAAATGTTGTTGTACACCTAAAAAATTGCAAACAACCTCACAAACCATGTGTCTGGGGGGGAAAGTGAACTTATTTTTTTAATACTTTCAGGGTAATGTCTACTCAGAACTAAGAACACTATTTCAGCTCCTTTAGGATTGTTGCTATGTGAATACTAAAGATCTCTCTCTTTCTCTTTATTGCCCAATTCAGTAACGTCTTATTCAAACAGAAAAATCTTTAGTTCTTTTTAACCTGATTGAGGTTAAACTTTGGCAATTATATGCATATAATGTATCTTTATAAACTTTGGTCAAGTGGTCACTTTAGACAAAAGTTTATCTTGTATAGGGTATTCTCTTTCTTTCCAGTAACATGTGAAACCGTGAAAGGTTCAGGGTTTGGTGATGGGAAAATCGAAAGAAAGTGACAATGAGCAGGATGAGGAAACAAACTGACTAAGATCTTTCTCTGCCAAAAGGAATCCTTGAGGCTACAGGACCCTGGTTTAACATTATAACATGCATAATCTTTGGTCACTGTCTTTCCATCCATATCAAATGACAAGATAACAAATTATCTTCAGGAATTTGTCTTATCCATAAAATTATATAAAAGGGAAGAAGCCTTACCTGCAGCTGCAGCCCTGATATCTTTTATCTACAGGGCCACTATCTACATTTCTTGGAATCCTTCTCAAATATGTGATTACAGAATGGCTCAAAGCATTTTTTTATCTCCTAATTTGATTTGACTGAGTTAATCACAATGTATCCTTCTGTTGTCAAAAGTCTTGTCCAGAATAACTAACAAAATCCATGCTTAGCAGAGAAAAGATTCCAATCCTTGGCATCTCCAGTTTAGCAAAGATCAAAGTAGCCAATTCTTTGTCTGAATTCTAGAAATTAACTTCAGTCAGTACTGGACTAGATGGATAAATAGCCTGAGCTTTTAGCAGCTTTTTAAATTTGATGATTCAGGATATCATCTAGAAAACTTCTAATTTAATGTTTTGAGATGAGTTTTCCATTGTTCAATACTGTAGGGCAGACAAAATAAGCCAACATTTGAACATTATGCAGAACAAGGTATCCTGTTAGATATCTAGCACATGAAGTTTACATATAAAATGGTAAATTTTATGTATCTTAGGTATATCTTTGTTTATTTGAAGCCAGATATATTTAAAAGTGCTGTAGATGTAACAGTGATTTTCACAAATTGTTCAGGAACCATAAAAGCATAATATCAGAGGCACACGTCTTCTACAAAAAAAAAACCCAACTTCTAATAAGCAATTCCAATATTTTTCAACTGATAAATATTCTATGAAAGAACTCAGTCTATATTGCCTTCTGGAAAACTGTAAAAGAGGGCTCCATTTAAATATCCAGAATTAAGTTGTCCTCTAAACAATACATTTGTCCTTTATCTCAGGAAGGGGGGGGGGGTATTCTTGAGATTCCCATTTGAAACAATGGAGTAGATTGATTGATTCTATCTGCAGAAGGCAGTCCTGCAGATATTTACAGTAAGCACCAAGCCAGGGAGCATTCCTTAGGTTAAAATGAGAATTTTGAATTATATTCAGAAGCTTATTGAAAGCCATCGCACAATCATTATGTGACACAGGCAGCTTTTGTCTATTAATAGTCAGGTTGTGCCATTTTTTTATCAATTGCAGCTTCTAAGT